GCCCCGAGGGGTGGGACAGCCCCGCCCGCTGACCGGGAGGCGGTGGCACTCTGCGCATGCGCGCAGCCGCCGCGGAAGCCCGCGAGGTGTCGCTCTATCCTCAAGGTGTGATTCTAAGCACGAGCAGTAGAGTTTGGGTATTCACTCGCTAGAAAGTCAAAGCGGTGCAGGGCGTGCCGGGAAGGCAGAGTCTTCCTCCGAGACAGCCATCTTCACTCGCCGGGGCCGAGCTGAGGGGCGCGGAAGGATGAAGGGGTTCCCGGTGGTCGCGCGTTCCCTCTCGGTGAGGGCGGCCTGGAGGTGTTGTGCGCGGTGGGGGAGAGGCATAGAGGGCGGCGACGGCCGTTGTCCCGGCCCTGGGGGCTGCGGGCGGGCCTGACCCCAACCAGCCCCGGGGCGGCGAGCCGGGCTGGCGGGCAGTGGGCGGGCGGGCGGTCGAGCGAGCGAGCTGCCTTCGTGCCTGTGGGGCTGTCAGCGGGGGTGATCCGGGGCCGGGGTCGAGCCGGCCCGGCGGATGGCGGAGCGGGATGGAGGGGCTGAAGGTCAGACAGGCCGCGGGCCGGGGCCGGGCCCGGGGCGGCCTGCGCGCAGCTCTGTGGCTGGCAGCTCCTGCCGGGGCGAGGGGCTCCCCGGGGGCTTCCCCCGAGGCCTCTCCCGGGAGCGGCCGACGAGGCAGGGCCGCTGGCATGGCCGGAGAGAGGTCTCAGGGGATCCGATCTCGCTTGTGGCAAGGTGGTGCCCTTGGCCAGCGGGACTGGGCTGGTGCCGGAGGCGTGGAGGGGGCAGGGGGCTTGTTCTGCTGCAGAAGGTCTTGTGGAGCCGGCGGACAGCTGGAATATAACTTGTGTTAGGTCTCTGCTGGAAATGCTGTTTTGAATAGGATGGTGAAGGACTCCTGAGTCACAGTATGTTTGTGAGTCAATTTTAGACGTGCAGTAGGAATTCAGAAATAAGTAGACTTAGAAGTTAAAACTAGGTGTCTTCACAAATTTGTGGAGGGGGGAGAAAGGAGTTTTTCCTAGACTCAAAATACATTGAACAGAGCCCGTGGCAAAGCAAGGGGAGTTACGTCATTGGTATCCCTACAACTGAGTGCAGCAGTGCTTCTGTCGCTCAGTTTTTACTTTTAAGATGTAGAAGAATTAAGTTACTTTTTTAATGTGAAAGGAAGAGTAATAAACAAACTTATTTTACAAGTATGAGAAACTTCCAAAAAGGGTGGAAGAGAATAGCATTTCAGATTCAAAATCGATAGTCTTGTAATTTCTGTTGCCAGCTGCTGACGGGAAGGCTCTTGCGATGTTCACCCCTGCAGTTTAAAGGCCCGTTTCTGCTTATTACTGTGCAGTTTGGGGACTTGCATACATGTCCTCTTTGTATGCAGCAGTCAGTGTAGATAGGTTGGTGTTCTGAGAGGTGACCTTAGGAGTTGAACTGCCTACACCTAATAAAGTTATCTCCAAAGGTGTGTTCTGCGTATGTGGATTGCTGTAATGGTTTGTTCAGTTAATTGCTATACAGTGGTCCTACAAATATATGGTATTAGTAGAGATTCCCACTGCACAACAGCTAAGAGGGAAAAAAAAAAAAGCTTTCTTACAGTGCTATTTCTTGAACTTCCAGAGACCTCATGTAAGTCATTGCACAGGTTCCAGCAGTGATGTAAAAAACGATCAGAGGAAATACAAGGGAATCACTTTTTTACTCTGGGGTTTGAAGTCATTCATTGTCTCTCTACTTTAAAATTAGTTGGTTTTTCAGTACGTAATGGAACATGTGATGAATTAATTCAGGAAATCCATTTTCTTATGCTTTCTCCTCTAGAAGAGACTTTATTCACTTAAAGTAGCTCCTAAAGTTGCAACCTCAGCAACTGCAGAACGAGTGAAATTATCTCCAGAGTCTGAGGATCTTGAGGTCAGTATGAAGACTGGTGTTTGTTTCTGTCTCCTTTTTATTGATCTTTTAAAACTCGGTCAAAGCAGAATTGTGACAGTACTGCCAGTGGATAACTAAACCAAATTTTTTTCTTTTTAACACAGATCACAAAATTACCAAATGGCTTAGTTATTGCATCTCTGGAAAACTTTTCTCCAGCTTCAAGAATTGGCGTGTTTATTAAAGCAGGCAGCAGATATGAAACCGCTAGTAACTTGGGAACTGCTCACTTGCTTCGTCTTGCATCTAATTTAGTAGGTGTTTATTCTCTTTGTTACTGTGTTGGCAGTAGGTGAAATGGTGGACGGTTTATGATCACAAAAAAAACCCAATACGATAAAATTTAATGTAAGAGATGTTATAAAGTGGAAAACAATGTACATTGATTCTTGGTTACCTGGTTCAAGTGCAGGAGAAATGTCATTGCATCATGGAAGACAGGCAGTGATATTTATTTAGAATGATACTCTCCAGTGGTGTCTTAAACTATATATATATAAAATATATCTATATCAAGCTATGCACATAACTCTATTTAAGCTGCAGTAAAAGTTAATTTGGGTGGCTGATAGAAACTGAGTTTGTGCGTGTGTAATATTTCTGAATAGTTTTTCTTACTACTGCCATCAGAATATTTTAAGCAACTTGTTTTCCCTTCCTGTTTTATGTCTAGCTTCAGTCATACAAGATGCTGTGGGGGCAGATACTTATCAGCAGGTTCAAAAAAGAATCAAATTCATTGATAGCAGGTCCTTAAACAGTTGCTAAAAGGAATAACTCCTGTAGGTACTGCAGGAATATCACTGAATGAGTTGTGGGATGTTATATTTAAACAGCCTTTTCTGTTGCCACTGTCAGGTCCAGAATGTTGGGCTAGATGTCCCATGGGCTTGACCCACTCTGGCTGCTACCCTTGGTGCTGTTTATCTCAATTGCTGTCTGGCTCTATCTGCAGGTGTAAACATGGCCTCTCTTGCATACCAGCCAGGTTGTGATGATTAGAGCTACACAGTGCCACTGATGTGTCTCTGACTGCTGTTGTATGGGTTCAATCCACATCAGTTTCAGGCAGAAAAAAAACAAAAAACATCCCAGCTGCTTATTACCTCCTTCCCACCTGCTGCCTGAAGTTACTTTCCCCAGACAGCTGTCAGCATAATAGTATGTGTAGGCATTCCTTGCCCTGGTTTTGTCAAGCTTACCTAATTCAAAGAATCCTATTAATTGTTCAAGCAAACCTGGATCATTCTAGAATGCAGCTGGGGAGCAAATATGTGAGCACTTATGGTGGAAAATTGGAGAGGATGATAGAAATGATTGGGAGTAGGGCTGCAGTAAGCTGGCTCAACTTTTCAAAATAGCTTCTGTATAAATGAATAAACAGATACTGTTTCAACTTTGCGTGAGCACTGAACAGCCTCAGGCAAATCTGTTCTTAAAATAGGTAGAATTTCAAGTTGTGCTCTTTTTTTTTTTTAAATAGACTACTAAAGGAGCATCTTCTTTCCGGATTACTCGTGGCATTGAAGCTGTTGGGGGCAGCCTGAGGTTTGTAACCACATACAAAGATAATGTATCTTGGTAAGATGCAAACAAGCTGAATGACTAAAGGAAATTTAAAACAGTAAGCGTAATAGTATGTAGGTGGATAAGCTCAGTGTGGTAATAGTACTTGAATGCTGAACATTGACAAGGAACATCTTTTGTACTTCTTGTTCTCTTGAGGTTCAAGAGTGCACCCATGACTTGTATTTTAAAAATACCTTTCATTTAACAAAATATAAATGTTATGTACCTGGAAGAAATATAATTTGTCCAGAAAGCTTAATGTTCTTTCTACCTTTTCAGGCTTTGAGATTAAATTTCCTGAAGTCAGTAGATGTTTGGGTTTTTCTCCATCTTTTGTGAATAGATACCACTCATCATACTGCAATTTTGGGAACAATTCAGACAGTAGTTGGCTTTCGTGATTTGAGAGTTTAAAGCCTAGGAAATAAACCTAAGAGAAATAAAAGAGGGATCTTGCTGTGACTGTTTTCTTGCAATGTATCTTGAATTCATCCAGTAAGATTGTTTTATATAGAATTTGGTTAAAAGCTGCGTTCTATATAACTTGAGACTCTACCCTTTTTTGTTCCTGTTAATCACAACGGTGTTGAAGCAAGTGGAAAAGACCAACTATGTTTTCTGCCCGAAAAGAATCATTTCTAAATTGCCTT